AAAATTTTAAGCCTATATTTGGACGTTTTTATTCATAAGATAATTTCGTATATTTTTTTTAAATACATCTTTCAGCTTAGTATACATTTGACTTAAGCGAATACATGTACAGATTTATTATGTCTAATTTAGTCACATTTGTCTTAAGTTTATACGAATTTTGGTATAAAAATATGTATTATAATTAGACGAATGGAATTATGTCTATTATCTCTAACACGCATTTGGAAAATAAAGTAAGAATAGAAGCGAGGATTATTGTTATGTAGGAAACATTTCCATTAATGTTTGTTTCGAGATTTAAAAAAAAAACTGCATTAATACGCTATTTTAGAAGTTGTAGATAACTTGCGAAAAAAATCTAAATTATTTAATATAATAAATTTCATTTTTTTGTATTGTGATTTTCAAATAATTTTACCAGTATTAGTGATCTTTTTTCGAGATTATATATTGGGATAAAATTGCTATATCTATAATTTTAGAAATGTGTAAAAGAATATTGCTGTCGTAATTGTTGTGAATGCATCGAAAGGTTCAACCAAATTTCGATTGGTTTATGAACGCGAACATGTTAAGTATGTGCGTTAGGTAGAATGTGTGAATGCGCCAATGCATAATACACCATCTCATTTATTCAGTATTTCATATATATCATTTGTTGATGCTATCACTTTTTGTGTATTTTTATGTGCTGTCGATACTCGACCAAACGTAGCGCATATTGTACACTGTCAAGATTAAAAGATTGACGGAAAAACGAAGCGAGTATCAACGCAACTCGTTCACGGACGGTCGGACGTTGTCATTTGAAAACGGAAGCCATCTTGTGGCCAAGCCTCCCATATTATACAGGGAATAAAAGATCAGCGACTATTTGTTCCGTAAAATTGTTCTGTATTTTTTCCATTACGTCTAGACTATGCATGAATTATTGTATCACATGTTTACATAGCCATGGCTGCGACGAGAAAGTTGCAAGGTGAGAAGAAAATGTTTCCAGCATGTTTACATTTAGAAATTTTGTTATGGCCCTGCACTACTACAACTTTGCTTTCGTTCTTGTTTCGCGTTCTGCAGTTCTCTGCCAGTTTAAACGCTCGTATTTACGATCAGCAGTAGCCTATTTTTAACTCGCGTTATCTACTCGCACACAGGCTTCTGTGTCTGACAGTTGGTACAAGTTGCCAGGGTATGATAGAGTGGTGTGTTCTATTCAACTTTTCATATGTTTCTTTAATATAAGTTATTTTTTCTTGCGTGAGCTGTATTTATGGTACTCTAATATTGCTTCCTTATGTCAGCATAACCTTTAAAATAACTTTACAATGTACTTGCATCATACATACACATAATGGTACGAGGTACAATTATGCAAAGCTTTTATCGATGTGAAGTTTTTAGCATAATCTTAATAATAAGCTTTTATAAATCATTATTAGTTACGTATTCTCTTAGTAATAGTTTTTAAAGCAATACTTAAACACACAAAAAAATGTTCATTATATTTCATTGTGTACCAATTACTTTTGTGATTTATGCGTTGGTCAGTTACAGCATTTAAGTTTTATGTATGTTGTAAAATATTAAAGCAGTTATTGTATGATGCATTTTATCATGTATACAGCATTAAAAATATTACTTAATTAAATAAATAGTTTACATGGCATTTATTGCAGACAATTTATTTTTCAATTTAATAATAAATCAACTTGATATTATAATAATGGTTTTTAATTGATTAATCTGTTTTTATATTGAATTTCGAAATTTACATTTGTACTCAGTTATCTATGTTTATGTTAAAAATAAGGAATGAATATCAGTAATATGTTATATACTCATTGATGTATGTTTATACAGCTAAGTAATACATATTTTTCTAAATTTTAGGTGAAATAGATCGGTGCCTTAAAAAAGTAACAGAGGGTGTAGAAACGTTTGAGGACATTTGGCAGAAAGTTCATAATGCTACAAATAGTAATCAGAAAGAGAAATATGAAGCGGACCTTAAGAAGGAAATCAAGAAACTTCAGAGGTTGCGTGATCAAATCAAAACCTGGCTTGCGTCAGGTGAGATTAAGGATAAAAGCACACTTCTCGAATATAGGAAGTTAATCGAAACTGTAAGTATGTTTTAGTAAGAAATAAAAATTGCAAAGATTACTATGTAATATCTATTAAGTATAATATGTTCTTTTCAGCAAATGGAAAGGTTTAAAGTTGTGGAAAGAGAAACAAAAACAAAAGCTTATTCGAAGGAAGGACTGGGAGCAGCTCAAAAACTTGATCCAGCTCAGAAAGAAAGGGAAGAAGTTAGCAATTGGCTTGCAAATTCCATAGATGCATTAAATCTTCAGGTACGAAATAAAAGGTGATACTGGAGCGGACTTAAAAGTATTATTTTGTGAAAAATGTAATGTGTTGATGATTAATTTAAATATAGCTGGATACATTTGAATCCGAGATAGAGTCGTTACTCGCAGGAAAGAAAAAAAGGTTAGATAAAGATAAGCAGGATAGAATGGATGAATTAAAAGCAAAGCTTGATAAACATCGTTATCATATCCGTAAATTGGAAACATTGTTGCGTATGTTGGACAATATGTCTGTTGAAGTTAACACTGTAAGTTTACCAGTTTTGCCAGAAGAATGTGATAATTATTAAGTAGACGTTGATCAAATTGCTATTTTAATCTTCTAAATTATTTATTTTTTATTTTCTCAATTATTCCACAGATTAAGAGGATAAAGGACGATGTAGAATATTATATCGAATCCTCACAAGAACCTGATTTTGAGGAAAATGAATATATATATGATGATATTATTGGTCTCGATGAAGTGGAGTTGTCTGGAGTTGGTATTCCCTCATCAGCAACTACAGACAGCAACAATAGTAATGAGACTGGAGGTACACCAACCTCAACTAACTCTGGTACTTCACCTATACCATCACCCCCATTGAGTTCCACCATGCACAACCATTCAAGTGATAGTTCTACAGATAATGACAAGAAAACAAAGGTGTGTATACAATTTTACGAATATCACATTTCAATGGTTTATTACATCTGTGTATCGATAACTGTAATATAGTTAACAATGCATAAATTTCTGTTTAATGCTTCAATTTCAGCCTGTGAAACCCACAGCAGTCAGGCCACTAATAAATTCACAGGCGAGCATTCCAACCACGGGAAGCACTGCCACCATAAAATCGAATTTATTATCGAGCAGCACTCCAAGCAAGACCATTCCCATGACTCCTAGCCATAGCTCGCCTAGTTCTACAAGTAATCACATCGCTACGACAAATGCTGGCAATTTTGCCACAGTAGCTGCGTCACATAGTAATTCACAAGCCATCCATTCTACCTCTAGTAAAACATCTTGTACGTAATTTGTAAAAGTACATAATTTATTGGGCAAGCAGTTTTATCGGAACGTATATTTGGCAAATTTATAATTTGTTTTCAATATTTACAGCTCATAGCAGTGAAAATGGTTTGTTGTCATCATCATCCACATCCAGCGTTACCTCGAATGTGCCACAAACGATCTCGCAGCAGCACAATAATCCGGCGCCCATACAAACGACACACGTATTACACAACCAACAAAATCAGAATCACAACAGTGAAACCGAAATGACAACGCCGATCCCACCATCTTCTTCACCACAGTCGTCAGTTAGCAGTAGGTCTTCACCTCTGCCTGCAAATTCCTGTTCGCCAGCGCCATCCACTGCCAATGGTCTCATCCCTAAGCTTCCTGATGGCATGTCCTCTTTGAAATCTATAGCCCAACAAGTAATTGTCCGAGCAGGTCTGGAAATACCACCGTCCGAGTCGAATAGAAACATCTTTGATAGTGCTAAGACGAACAATAACAACAATAATGCCACTTCGGAAGCACACATTCCTCCTTTGCTTGGTGTTGCGCCACTCGGGCCGGTACCTCTTCAAAAAGAACATCAGCTACAATTCCAGATGATGGAGGCCGCTTACTATCATATGCCTCATCCATCTGATTCTGAACGTTTACGGTCATATTTACCAAGAAATTTATGTCCAACGCCTCCTTACTACCAACAGGTATCATTGTATCATTATTTAAAATAACACTATTGACTCCTTAGAGATGCTATAGTAATGCAACTCTTAGTTTCTTTTATACTTTTATTCATATGTGCTTTATATGTTAGGTTCAACTTCCCCATTCTGATACTGTGGAGTTCTTCCAACGTCTTTCTACGGAAACATTATTCTTCATATTTTATTACATGGAAGGTTCTAAAGGCCAGTACCTGGCAGCAAAAGCTCTAAAGAAACAAAGTTGGAGGTTTCACACAAAATATATGATGTGGTTTCAAAGGCATGAAGAACCAAAAGTGATTAACGAGGAATATGAACAGGTTAATATAAGATATTAATTTATTAATAAAATTAACAATTAGTGATGCGAGTTAAACATACAGGATGCCCCGTGAAGAAATCGACAAACTTCTCCAACATCAAAAATGTGATACACACTGTAGGTCTATTTCTACTTGCTAAAAAGTAATATCAAAAGTAAGATGTTGCAGACGCGTACCTAAACAGAGTAGTAGCTTTTTATTTTTCATTTTAATTTCTCTTTACCTTTGGTTACATTTAATTAAAACGTAGTTGTCCTCGACTCTGCGATGAATGTTACCGTTATATTTATAAAATAAAATAATTTTCTATGTTTTCACTCGTTATATACTATATTACGTGTACCAATTTGATTTTTCACAACTGTAGAGCTTAAGATTTTATGTAGCTATGGAAAGAAGTTCAAAAGATTTAAATATAACGACAAAAGGGGCCATGATACAGGTTCATTCCTTTCGATTTATCTATCGAAAATAAGACTGTACACGTAGGCTGTCGTTTCTGCAGTAAATTGGGATGACCACATCTTGTTCAAGTTATACCCCGATTTTTGTCATCAACATCTAAATAGAGAGGAAGATTATTTTGCCAAAAATGTTTGTAAGTACCTATCGTGAGCCACATACCGCTATTTGACACTCAAGACTAAACAATGCTTACCTCGATAGCAACTATGTTTACAAATGGGAGACCATCAATTCGAACAGTATTTATGGGATGTAAATAAAAATAAATAAGTAAAATGGAAAATAAATAGAAAATTAGAAAGAAAAGACTCTGTTTTGCTTAAGGACGTGCATATTATATTTTATTGTTACAACTTTATGACAAATTGATATAGTCCCGTAGTGTATCGAAGCATTTTGGCTCAAAATGAGTTGCAAGTATGCTAGAGAAGTTTGTCGGTTTCTTTATGAAATGTTCTATATAACAGAAGTTGACTATGTAAAATATAATTGTTACAGGGAACCTACATTTATTTTGATTACGAAAAATGGGGACAGAGAAAAAAGGAAGGTTTTACATTTGAGTACAAGTACTTAGAGGACAGAGATCTGAATTAACAGTCCTGTTGCTTGTGGAGTCTCCGAAATACACTATTTCTGTACCGGTATTATCACAAATCGAAAAGACAGATTTTATTTTTTACAATTCTATATTTTCACAAAATATAATTTTATTTATTGGTAAAGAGTATCTCAGAAAAAAGTAAATGAAACAAAAAAGAAGAAAAAGCTCGTGTATGGCAGGCAATGAAGATACTTCATATATTTTGACATTACGACGGTAATCTCATCTATATATTCCTTTTCGAGAAACAGAAAAGCAAAACACGAATCACGCAATTGAAAGAAACAAAAAATGCAACTAATAAAACGAATGGAGTAAGTTAATCGGGGACAGTAAATTTTAACTATAAAAAATAATGATATGAAAAGCACCAGAGACACACTTTTAATATTTTAGTGTGTGGTGTGTGATACAAGAGGAAGAAGTTATACTCGCTGGCGACTGACTCTGTAATACCAGTACAAACATGCGTGCGGCCCATCTGCCGTTTGGCGGTAAGGTGGAGGGCGCTCATGCTATGGTATGTCTTAATGCTAGATTATAAGTAGCCTTTTTGTATAAAGTATATTGAGGTATAAAACCCTTAAATTGAATTACTGTACAGAATGTGTAGAAATAGTGAATAATAATATTATGGAATATATTTTATTTCTCATTTAAATGAAACCTAAGTTGTTTCAATTTTTGTCACATTTGACACATCTCTGACACCTTGCATTCAGAACATTCCATCCATTAGATTTCTACCCTCAACCAGGTTACTTATACATATGTTCTGACAATTTAAGGATGAAACTCGAACTCATCGTTGAAGTAAAACACGGGTTCATTTTATATTCAAAGTAGCGTGATTAGCTACTTCTCTGCTGCACATCTTGTCGATTCAGGAGTTTTGATTTAATTCTTCTTCAGCAATTTTTACGCGTAACGTACTGTGTTCGTCAAATGACGATTCGTGATAATCATTGTGCATATGTATTTATGAATTAATAAAATAGAGAGATAGAGAGAGAGAGAGAGAGAGAGAGAGAGAGAGAGCGAGAGAAAGAGCGAATGAAAAATAAAGCCATATTGTACGAACTTATTTATTATAAATTGTCGGTACTACCAATAGCGAAGCATCTCTGATTAAAAATAAATGGAGAAACATTCTCTGTAGTTTGACATGTACATATGTGTATATTTCCTCATCTCAATTTTTAATATTTCTTGTTAAATGATGCGAGGCGGTATCGACATTTGGAATAAATAACTTCAGACAAAATAATTTTTGCTTCAGAGACTGAAATGATCGCTTGCATGCGTGTTATTCGTCATTACAAAAGCCTTTGACAACGAGATTAGGCATATTGCATTCATTAGTAATAAAGGAAAAAGTTAAGATTTCTCACCTGATTGACTTAGCCTTAGGATGGTAATTGAACTTACTGAACAAAGAATAGATATATTCTAAGCAGATACTCTTGTTATAAACGAAATTGCGACGATCATTATATTTGCATGATAATATCTAATCATGTTTTTTTTTTTTTTTTTTTTTTTCAATTTACTTTAGAGGCAGTATTCGATAATCCTATCGAATAATTATGTTTCTTGACAAAACGAAAGGTTTTGCAGGAAATGTTCATTTATATGTTATAACGTGCTTCAGATATATTTTTAACATGTTTCCTAAACATTTTGCGATGTGGTTATGCACCATCCATTATCAATGACCCTTCAATAGTGTTCAATATTTTAACGTGTATCGAAGGTGTTATGCTTGTTAATGATATATTAATGAGAGAGATAGGTCAATAAGAATTGCAGTTTATATCATAACATTTTAATTAGCATACCTTGCAATGGAAATCAGATACAAGTTAAATCGAATACTTTCACTTTATACAGCATTACATTATTCTTCAGTGCACCTTTGATGAGATCATTTTACAGTCCCTAATGTATGAAAAAAGATACAACTATTCAATATTATATGCAAAAAATAAGAAAGAAGGATTTATTGCTACTTTATACAGTTGAATAACATTATAGTTTTTAGATGTTGCATTATAATTGTAGAATTAAAATGGAACATTATCGTTCCTGGATATTTTGTACTATGAGAATCTGGACAATGCTAACTTCTTATTTTCTAAAGAAGTTTGAGAAAAAATTTAACAAATTTTGCAACAGAGTGCTGTGTGTAATATTTTTGCATTTATTAAAAGGTTTTATAGTTATTTTAATAGGAAGTGCTTCTAATTTTTGTTTTGCATTTTCTAATGTACCGGATTTTGTTTCGTAATACAGATAAAAATGTGCAAGTAGGAAATTGAATTGGGTATGTAGTTTAACAAATTTTCTACCATTGGTCTTCTATCAATACCAAAAAATAGTGCAGCAAATGAAAGAGAAGGTGATTTTGCTGTATCTTACATTACTCTTGTCAGTAGAAATGTTTGCTCAGTGGAAAGAAATTATTACAACAGTACAATGATTTCTTTAATATTAAAGAATCTTTCTTCTTTTACATTTGAACATAATAGTTTAGATTTTCTTTGTAACAATTCAATAACCACTTTTAGTCAATTTTATTAGTTATATACTAATAAATTCACACAGCAATAATCGTCGAAGAAATTCATTCTCACCATTTTAGTAAAGATAAATACTTGAAAGTCGCAAAAAGCAGTAAATGTGGTTTTATAAATGAGCAGCTACTTAAGGATCTTAATACAAACTGTGAGTTTGAAATAAATATACGGAATATATATATAGATATATGAGGGAATGGTGGTTTGATTTATAAAAAAAAACATACAAATAACAATGCAAATAAAAACAAATACTACTTTGCGTTTCAATTATTTATTAAGAAAAAGTAAATATACTTTATAAGGCTGCTAAACTATTTATCTCTTTTTCCCCTTTTCTTTACTTTTTCCTTTTAGTCTTTTCCTAACTCCAACAGATTGTTCCGTATCATCATCTTCATTATCGTCCTGATGTTTTTTTCGTTTTCCCATTTTCTTGCTATCCTCTATATCTTTCATTTCCTGAAATAACGTAATAATTTTGTTAGTTCTATATACACTACTGTAACTGAATCAAATGGTGAAAAATCGAATTTACCATTTTTACAATACGTTGTGATTCCGCTACTCTTTCTTGAAGTATCATCACTTCCTCTTCTTGCGTAGGATACAATGGTAGTTGTTTTGATATCAATTGTTCTATTCTTTGATACAACTCTACATCGTACTGTGTTACAAATGTAATGGAACGACCAGAACGACCAGCACGTGCAGTACGTCCAACTCTATGTATGTAATCTTTACTATGCGTAGGTATATCAAAATTTATTACAATATCTACATGAGGAATATCGAGACCCCTGTAAGAAAAAAGGATAAAAATATGAATTAAAAACAGTACTCTTATAACTGAATAAATCAAGTAATGTCTATTTACCTGCTGGCAACATCTGTGGAAATAAGTATAGATCGATTTTTTGCCTTGAATTTAGTAAGTGCGGCTATTCTCTTATTTTGTGACATCTGTCCGTGTAAAGGAACAGCAGTGAAGCCTAAATTTCGTAAAAGAAGGGCAGTTCTAAGTGCATTATTACAGGTTGCACAAAATATTATAAAACTGTTGCCTGCTAATTCATTCAAAATGTGTACAAGGTATACATCCTGCAATATGAAATTTTAATACAAAAAGAGAAATTTCATAAACTAAAAAGTTAGGGAATTATTTGTACCTTGAATTTAACAGGAATAAATATATAATATTGCTGTAACTTTTCAACAGTTTGATACTTTGTTGAAACTTCTACTTTAACAGGATTTCGCAAAGATGCCCGTTGTAGTTTTTGAACTTTTTTAGTCATGGTTGCAGAAAACAATAATGTTCTTCTTTCTCTAGGAATTACCCTTAAAATTTTATCTACTTCAATTTCAAAATCCATATTTAAAATTCTATCTGCTTCATCCATAACCTATTAGAATTGAAATCATAAATATATCGACTTTGTTAATATACATAACAAAAATCTATTATTAATTACCAAGAATTTTAATGAACGTAGATTGAAACCTTTGGTGTTTTCCAAATGATCAATCAATCTACCTGGAGTAGCAATTAAAATATGTGGTTTCTTTGCTAACAGTAGTGCTTGTGACATCATGTCCATTCCACCTACTATTACTGCACATTTTACACCAATACTTGATCCTAAAATATAATAACATTATAGTCACTATGAAATAATAATATTTAATAATACTAAGAAGTAAAATAATGAAATATTTATTACCTAAAGCTTCAAATTGTTCTGATATTTGAAATGCTAATTCTCTTGTAGGTGTCAAAATTAAAGCGAAATATCTTTGAGGATTTTCTAATAATGCTTGCAATATAGGAAGAGCAAAAGCAGCAGTTTTTCCTGAACCAGTTTCTGCTAATCCTATTATATCTTTGCCTAAAAAATTGGAGATTCAATTTTGAGAAAGATGTTTTAATTTAGTTATACTGACTCTTTTATATATATAGATGTTTTAAAATTCACCTTCCAGTGCTAATGGAATAGCTTCACATTGAATTTTTGTAGGTGACTTCCACTTTAGATCTTCACATGTTTTACATAATGTATCCACTATACCCTATAAATATTTACAAATTGTATTATTTTCACCAATGAATATTAATTATTCAACAATTTCATTTAATTACACATACAAAAATCTTGAAATAGTTGCATTGCTATACATAACTATCGTAATATGTTGTAACCTACAACATGTAAACTGTTGTTTGTACACATAAAATTCAATTTATTTAATTGTAATTGCGTAAACATTTAAATAGAAATATATAACGGAATCTTTCCTTTTAGGTTAAATTAAGTTACAATTTTTCGATTGAAATGATCAAAA